GCTGATGAGCAAGATGATGAGGACTCTGATTTTGATGAGCTGAGAAGACGACAAGTAGACGAGATCGAGGAAAATATCCAACCTCGGCTAGGCCGTCCAAGGTCAGTAATAAAAGGTAAAAATAATTTCAAGTGGTCCACGATCGCACCTGAAACCCGGGGACGCCGTTCATTTCACGTTTACTTGCCGTCAGCGAGGGAAGAAGCAAAGAATGTCTCAACACCATTGGAAGCTTGGAAGCCATTATTTACTCCCGAGATGCTTGAAATGATTATTCAGCATACGAATGAAGAAATCGAGAGAAACCGAGTGAACATTGAAAATCAAAACGTATCATTTTGCCGAAATACAGATATAGTCGAGCTAAAAGCTTTAATCGGATTGCTGTATTTTACCGGCATGGAAAAACACAACCACACAAATTTAGAGGATCTATGGAGTCCTCAATTTGGATATAATTTATACAGAGCTGTAATGCCAGAACGTCGATTTCAATACCTCTTGCAAAACCTTCGGTTCGACGAGAAGAATAGTCGAAATGTAAGAAGAACAGAACATGCTTTAGCCCTCTACTAAGTATTATTCGCCCTCTACTAATTGCACCATCGACGAACCACTTCTGGGGTTTCGTGGCCGTTTTGCAGCGAAAGTGTACATTTCCAATAAACCGGACAAATATGGTATAACAATTGTTAGTTGCAACGACGTGCAGACATCGTATATGATAGATGCCGAACCTTATGTTGGACGGATAGAAACAGCCGCAGGAGATACAGTGCCCAGTTATTACATAAAGAAATTGACTGAGACTATACGTAATACTGGACGCAATATTACCTGTGATAACTGGTTTATGTCTGTCAATATTGTAAGAGAAATGAAGCACAATTACTCCTTGAGTATGGTTGGCACGTTGCGCAAAAATAAGCCTGAAATACCATCGACTTTCCTCCAATCAACTGCTGCCGGCACGGTGAGGTACGCCTACGCCGATGGAATGACTTTATTGTCGTATAGCCCGAAACGAAATAAGGTGGTTTTGTTATTATCCAGCTTACACAAAAGAGGCCATATGAATGAAGAAATTGGCAAGCCAGACATCGTCGCATTTTATAATGCTACTAAAGGAGGAACAGATACGTTCGACCAGCTTTGTAAATGCTACAGCACAAGCCGAATTACAAAGCGATGGCCTATGCGCCTATTTTTTGGAATGCTAGATCAGGCAGGAGTCAACAGCGCAGTTCTATATAATTTGAGAGAAGCTAACTCCGCTTTAAATCGCCGTTCGTTTTTGAAGGAGTTAACTTTCAGTCTTATAAAGCCTCATCTAGAAGACCGGCTACGAAAATCCACCTTACGCAGAAGCGTCAGAACCTTAGTTAGTGAAGTTCTTGGAGTAAACGAACATCGTTCCAACGAAACTGGTAGATTAGAAAAACGAAAACGGTGTTCTGTTTGTAGTTGGAGAGACAACAAAAAAACTTTGTACAGTTGTGCGTAGTGTGGATCACCTGTGTGCGACGATCACCGAACTCACTTTTGCCACAATTGTGCATAACAAATATCTTCTTTTTTTTTAGTTTACATATATCGTTATATCGTTTGTATTTTTTTATAATAAACACTTATTTAGTAGCAAATAATTATCTTTCCAAATTCTTATTACCTGTCTAAATCAATAAAATGTCTCCTACATTCAAGTGCCGAAATAATTAAACTTTTCGGAGTCGACATCAATGACACTATATTCATTTCAAAAGTCATAGTCTAAGCTACAAACCCTTAGCGTAGTTTTTATATTTATATATATTTATTATAGAATTACGAATTTTTGAACAACACGTGTGTTTTGTTGTAGTTTTGACTATACTTCAATTTTTATTAGTAATACATTTAAAGTTTCGAGTTTGGAAACTATCATGTCTTGTGATATATCTTTCCAAGAGTAACTCTGAATTTTTTCAGATTTTTGTAAACCTAGAAATCTTAGAAAACACGACAGTTCCCTAAAAGACCCAGTGTACACACCGTGTCTCGAAAAATTTAGTGTACACACGCAGGGTTAATTATATTAATAAATACTAAAAATGTTTTTTACCCCCTCTGTAAAATTTTTAAAAGTGGACAAGTCCACTTCTTGCATTGACCCCTTCAATTACAAACTATTTTTTTTTTAACTTTACTGATAAAAATGCAGGTATAGTAATAATGCGTACACAAGATTACATAGGAAAAACCGAAACTTTTTTGAATGATAACAAATTTATAATAACATCAAAAAACCCTTTAGATAATTTTCATAAAGAAGTCAAAAAAGTTATAAAAGATTCTAAAGAAATAATCTTGAAACTTAATAAAAACCCCAAACAACTTTTACCTATGAACCCCAAAATGCCACGTTTATATTCCTTTCCAAAATTACATAAACCAAATATGACTATTAGACCGATAATATCGTTAATAGACTCCAGCACTTATAAGATATCAAAATTCCTATATTTTAAGACATAACTGGATTCACAACAATAAAGAACCGAAGAGAATTCCTAACAAGAATCAAAAAACTAGAACTTCCTAAGGAATATACTATGCTATTATTTGATGTCACAAATCTTTATACAAACGTTCCAACCCCACCCACTTTAAAGAGTATTAAATATATATTGGAAGAGAGAATAGATAATAAAACACACAGTAAAAGCATATACAAATTTATTGAAATTTGTATAAAACAAAGCTTTTGCAGCTTTAACAAAAAATATTATACTTACAACCAGGGTCTTCCAATGGGTTCACTTATCAGTGAAATGCTAGCTGACAATTTTCTCGACAATCTGGAGAATGAAATGATTATTAACAACAAAAACCCCACAAGAACAATATATTACTTTGGCAAAGATATGTAGACGATATCATCGATACAACAGATTAATACATTATTAACCCTTAATCACTGACGTACGAATGACATTCGTTGCGAAAACCGTTATTCGTTCATAACTTGTTTTTGTGCGGGAATTCGTGCTTGTCGTTTCTAGCAGTTTCCTAGCCGTCAGTAACACGCGTGCTGCAGAGAGGACGAACGTATGACGCACTTTTATACAGGTGAATTTGATCATCTGACGTACGGCATTCGTATTGTCAGTGTTAGTGTAACTTTTTCGAATTTCTTTTATTTTTTCGCTTGTAGATAAAACGAATCGTAAGCGATGTAATACTTCGCCCGGGTATTCCACATCGCGGAAAATACACCGAACGCGTTTTGGTTACAATAAATCAGACGACATCATAGAATCATGGCTATGTGAAGAATCAGAGGAATCATCGGCAGGTGAAGAAGATTGCATACAATCAGATCGCGGAAATTCTTCATCAGAAGAAGATGAAGAAAATGAAGAGATTAGTTTACCAACACCAGCAGATTCTCATATCTCCGACTCCTCTGATGATGACATTCCATTGTCACGTTTAGTAAGTCGAGCTGACCCTCTGAGACTTGTAATGACAAATCACGTCGCCAAAAATATTTCTATGGTAAAAGACGATGCATGAAGTGGTCCGCAGAAGGGCCATCAAGAAGCACTCGAACTCCTGCGCACAACATTGTAGTTCCATTGACCGCAACTGACATTACACCTGACAGCACTTCGTCTCAATTATTTGGATTGCTGATATCTAAGAGTATCAAAACTAAAGTTATAAACTTTACTAATCAAAGATTGGAAGTGACAAGAGAAAAATATAAACGCCAGAATAAACCTGAACTGAAAGACATTGATCCTTTGGAGTTTGATGCGTTCATTGGTCTGCTGATGTTTAGTGCAGTGTTCAAATCAAATGATGAAGACCTAAATGCATTGTTTGCGACGGACGGAACCGGGAGAGATATTTTTAGAGGAGTTATGTCTAAAGAGCGGTTTGCAATGATTCTCCTATGTCTGAGGTTTGATGATGCGTCTACTAGAGACCAAAGAAAACGGACTGACGTCGCTGCTGCTATTTCGGACATATTTCGCGAATTTATAGGAAATTGTCAAAAGTACTATAAAATTGGGGAAACTACAACAATTGATGAAATGCTAGTATCTTTTAGAGGAAGATGTAGATGGAAGAAATACATGCCTAACAAGCCGTGTAAGTATGGCTTGGAAATAAAATGTCTGACTGATAGTGCTACTAGCTATTTATACAATGCGTACCTATATACAGGAAAGAACAGTGACGGAAACGAGCTAACATATGAAGAAAGGAAGTTATTAGTGCCAACGCAGTGTGTCTTGCGTTTGGCAAAACCGATAATGACAACCAATCGATATATCACTGCAGTTAACTACTTTTCCTCAATTGAAGTCTGCATAGAACTGAGAAAAAGAGGCTTGACTTACGTTGGAACCCTAAAAAAAAAAAGAAATATCACCCGAATTTCTTGATAAAAAACGACAAGTTCATTCAACTATGTATGGTTTTACAAAACAACTTCCTCTGCTATCTTATGTTCCAAAAAAGAAGAAGACTGTCACAATGATCTCATCAATGCACCATGAAGAGAGCGTAGACTCTACTAAAGGGATCCCCGAAATAATTTCATTCTATAACGCAACAAAAGGGGGTGTGGATTCTCTAGACGAAAAGTGTGCAAAATACACTGGTAGTAGAAGGTCTAGACCAAAGGTTCCCAAAGTGGTCCATACGGACCCCAAGGGGTCCCTAGGGTCATTCAGGGAGTCCTCGGAAAATTAAAATCGATTTGGGGGTCCCTGAACAACGTCAGGGGGTCCGCGCAAGGTTTAATAAAAAATAAATAAATTGAGACACATTTTTTTTAANAACTCTCTAGGCTCTCGATTTACAAGGATTTTTCTACGGAATGTCATTATTTCCTCTATTGTAATTATTTCTTATAACAAAACTATTGTTTATTAATTAATTAATAAAATTATGAGTGGAACCCAATATTATTACAATATCTATTATTTAATAGGCCTTGTTACCTAATTAAATTCGAACATTCTCTTCCATTTTGAATACACCATTCGGTATAAATTGCTTCAGCGCCTATTCCAATTTGTACAAGTCTTTCTCTGTCATACAAAAATCTTTGTTTAACTTTAGAAGATGTTTCATCGGGTGTAAATATTCATCCTGGGATAAAATTCCATCCCAAATAATAATTAAATTAGTTAAAAAATGCATCCTCCCAAATTTCCATAAAAAGTGTCAATACAAAGAATATCATTTATTAGTTTCACGTTTATATTGAATTTTTCCAAAGCTTAGCAAAGTTTCACAAGTCATAGAGATGCAATTCTTGGTTTAGAGCTTATTTTTACTTATTACTTGAGTGATTTGATAAGTAGAGTTTCCAGCTCAGAACTCTGCATCTTCCTCGACCTCTATTTCTTGATACTCATTTCATTATCCAGTATATCTTGTTGCAACTGAGATTTTTGGAAATGAATTTCGATGTAAAAGTAGACATGATGAAGATAAAAAATGTATTAGAAAGATCGTGTTAATTTTTGATAACCTACATTTTATTTAATTATAATTTTATACATCTATTATTTAATAGGCCTTGCTACCTAATTAAATTCGAACATTCTCTTCCATTTTGAATACACCATTCGGTATCAATTGCTTCAGCACCTATTCCAATTTGTACAAGTCTTTCTCTGTGATACAAAAATCTTTGTTTAACTTTAGAAGATGTTTCATCGGGTTCAGACCAAAATATTTCTGCCATTGCTGCAGCTCTTGGCCATATCCTACTGTCTAAATATGAATCGTCGATTTTTTCTGTCCATACTGTTACTTCGGATCCGAGAATTTTATGACAATCCTCATCTACAAATAAAAGCAGGTATAAATAAATAAATATTTTATTGTGAAGTTTTTTAATCCCACCGTTTATATTTAATTCGTTGAATATTCTAAAGTCATAAATGTTTTCCCAGGTGTTATAATTTTGGCAATGAACGTCGAATCCGCAATCAAGGTAAAACGGATTTATACTACTAATTATGATATTATATCCTTTTGGGATTAAATCTTTTTCATATCCGTTTCCTCCATTCCATACTTGAATAATGTAAAGACTCTGTGGGATGTTTTGTAAATATTCATCCTGGGATAAAATTCCATCCCAAATAATAATTAAATTAAATTAATTAAAAAATGCATCCTCCCAAATTTCCATAAAAAGTGTCAATACAAAGAATATCATTTATTAGTTTCACGTTTATATTGAATTTTTCCAAAGCTTAGCAAAGTTTCACAAGTCATAGAGATGCAATTCTTGGTTTAGAGCTTATTTTTACTTATTACTTGAGTGATTTGATAAGTAGAGTTTCCAGCTCAGAACTCTGCATCTTCCTCGACCTCTATTTCTTGATACTCATTTCATTATCCAGTATATCTTGTTGCAACTGAGATTTTTGGAAATGAATTTCGATGTAAAAGTAGACATGATGAAGATAAAAAATGTATTAGAAAGATCGTGTTAATTTTTGATAACCTACATTTTATTTAATTATAATTTTATACATCTATTATTTAATAGGCCTTGCTACCTAATTAAATTCGAACATTCTCTTCCATTTTGAATACACCATTCGGTATCAATTGCTTCAGCACCTATTCCAATTTGTACAAGTCTTTCCCTGTGATACAAAAATCTTTGTTTAACTTTAGAAGATGTTTCATCGGGTTCAGACCAAAATATTTCTGCCATTGCTGCAGCTCTTGGCCATATCCTACTGTCCAAATATGAATCGTCGATTTTTTCTGTCCATACTGTTACTTCGGATCCGAGAATTTTATAACGAACCTCATCTGCACATAAAAGCAGGTGTAAATAAATAAATATTTTATTGTGAAGTTTTTTAATCCCACCGTTTATATTTAATTCGTTGAATATTCGAAAATCATAAATGTTTTCCCAAGTGTTATAATTTTGGCAATGAATGTCGAATCCGCAATCGAGGTAAAACGGATTTATACTGCTAATTATGATATTATATCCTTTTTCGATTAAATCTTTTTCATATCCATTTCCTCCATTCCATACTTGAATAATGTAACGACTCTGTGGGATGTTTTGTAAATATTCATCCTGGGATAAAATTCCATCCCAAATAATAATTGGGGTATCGATTTTTTGATGTTTTCGATAACGTTCCAAAGCTTTATTTTGAAAATAGTTTAATAATCTCGCCCCGTTTGCTTCTATTAAGTCCCAATTTCTATTTTTCATCCAATTTTTTATTGATTCATCTTGCATCCAACAAGATAAAGAAACTTCATCGGTACCCATATGAAATAATTCAGGGTTAAAATCTTCGATTATGTCCTTATAAATTACTTCAAGAACTTCATATGTTTTTTCAAGTATTGGATTTAATTGACTATGTTGATCGTTACAATCAACGGTAATTTTTAAATTTTCCAAACCTTCACGTATATGAGCTGGGGAATCTAATTCTGGAATTACACGAACTCCCCTTATTAAAGCGTATGTAATCACATTGGATATATCGCTGGGAGTGTATATTTTTAAAGGTGAATATGCACCGAGCGTTGATAATTCAGGAATTGTTGTAGAACCGTAGGGGAAGCTCTCAGAATCGGTTATATGCCAATGAAAAGTGTTGAGTTTTGACATTGCCATTCCCTCGATGGTTCTTTTGATGCTACGAATTGAAATAAAATGCCGAGCTGTATCTAACATAACCCCTCTATAAGGATACAAAGGTTTATCTTTTATGTAAGCACCTGAAATTATTTTGATTGAATTAATCGATAAGGAACAAACGATTAATTGTAAGAGGGTTTCAAGACCGTGCCTAACACCGAAAAAATTATTTGAAACTATGTTAACATAAACATTGTGTGATGACGCGTTTATAAATAATTCATATCCTTCCGACGTATTCAAAGTGAGTCGGGTTAAATTAGTATTAATAATGTTAAAGGCCACTTTTAGTTGGACTCCATTCTTTGCCCGACTCAATTTCTTCATCTTGTAAAACCGCTTCAAAAATCTCTTTGTTGCTCCTTTAATGAGACTTTTAATTAGACTTTTTTGAAATTTTCTGATGTAAACGTAGACGGAATTCAACGGGATTAAAGTGCGATTTATCTCGAGATATGTTGGTTTTGGCCACAAACCAGCGTACGGCAAACAAATTAGTTTGCATTCTGCGAATGGAAGGGCATCTTTCGATAAGGTTTTGACGCAATTTCCATCCAAACATTTCCAAGAAAACTTCGGGAATAACGCGCACAATATTCTTATTATCGAAATAAAGAAAAATACAATGACAACTGCCATTTAATGTGTCAAATTTGACATAGTTTGGCGAAAATTTGAAATTTAAAGTTTAAAATCAAAAAATGCATCTTTTCCTATTAATATGACTTTGCAAACTAGGTGCCCATCTTCAAATTGTAACCGCCTTAAATATTGTGATGATACTATTTCTTCTACTGGAGCTTCTAGTACTACTTCAAATAGCACTGAAACAACTTGCTATGCATGTACAAAAAATGAGTGTGTACACAGAGTATGTAGTTTAAGTACTAATTGGGCACTCCCATCCACGTCTAGCGACCTCACGTCTTCAACAAACGCTAATTCAACGTCTAATTCTTCAAGTAGTTATCGCCGGTCTTCAAGATCGGGCTCATCCGAAGAATACGCGGATATCGTACCTGAATTGGCGCACTCAAAGAACAAAAATTCATGTAAACTATTAAAAAATAAATATTTATTCTTCAAGAATAAGGGTAAATATAGATCTAGAGATTCTTCCCCTAAAAACGGCGATGATTCCGAATCTGGATATGGAATAACTAACACAAATAATCAATCGAGAATTAGACATGTTAAGAGCAAAAATAGCTTTCTCTCCAAAATTAGAAACGCTACCAACAAGAATAGTGATTCAACATTTGGAGATGNAAATTCGAACATTCTCTTCCATTTTGAATACACCATTCGGTATCAATTGCTTCAGCACCTATTCCAATTTGTACAAGTCTTTCTCTGTGATACAAAAATCTTTGTTTAACTTTAGAAGATGTTTCATCGGGTTCAGACCAAAATATTTCTGCCATTGCTGAAGCTCTTGGCCATATCCTACTGTCTAAATATGAATCGTCGATTTTTTCTGTCCATACTGTTACTTCGGATCCTAGAATTTTATGACGAACCTCATCTACAAATGAAAGCAGGTATAAATAAATAAATATTTTATTGTGAAGTTTTTTAATCCCACCGTTTATATTGAATTCGTTGAATATCCGAAAATCATAAATGTTTTCCCAGGTGTTATAATTTTGGCAATGAACATCGAATCCGCAATCGAGGTAAAACGGATTTATACTACTAATTATGATATTATATCCTTTTTCGATTAAATTTTTTTCATATCCGTTTCCTCCATTCCATACTTGAATAATGTAACGACTCTGTGAGATGTTTTGTAAATATTCATCCTGGGATAAAATTCCATCCCAAATAATAATTAAATTAGTTAAAAAATGCATCCTCCCAAATTTCCATAAAAAGTGTCAATACAAAGAATATCATTTATTAGTTTCACGTTTATATTGAATTTTTCCAAAGCTTAGCAAAGTTTCACAAGTCATATAAATGCAATTCTTGGTTTAGAGCTTATTTTTACTTATTAGTTGAGTGATTTGATAAGTAGATTTTTAAGCTCTAAACTCTACATCTTTCTCGACCTCTATATCTTGATACTCATTTCACTATCCAGTATATCTTGTTGCAACTGAGATTTTTGGAAATGAATTTCGATGTAAAAGTTGGTATGATGAAGATAAAAAGTATATTAGCAAAGAACGCGTTAATTTTTGATAACCTACATTTTATTTAATTATAATTTTATATATTGTGATAATATGTGTGTTCGTCTTTCAAAAATGAATAAAAATACTTTAATTAAATACAATAAATAAATAACAATCTTTAATAGAAAATAGAAAAAATACTTTACAAACAAAATTATTGAAACAAAAAAAAAAAATCTAACACGAGACTCTACAACAAAAAATAACGAAAGTAAACGATCTCAGGGTTTGTTTTCTAGGGCTCATGTAAACGAAACACAGTTGCTCATGTTTAAAAAAAAAA